AGTTTATTTCCGTTGTAATTATCTCTTTATATATACCTACTTGCGCCTTCCCTTCAACATCTTAGAGCTGTAGACTATCCCATGCATGTCCATCACAGATCTTCTAGATTAGTCTTTGGTTGCACCGAATCCGACTTTGAAATTGTGCGACTTCACTTGAATTTGCACGATTTCAAAGTCAGATGTCAGTGTGACTTGGAAGACGTCTGTGCGACTTTAGCACTGAAATCTATGCAAGCCGCAGCTGAACTTGCAAAAAGTATTGCATGAGCTACTTTCAAAATCAGTGCAACTCTAGTGGAGTCAGTCGCACTGATTTGACCGCTTCCATTGTGGACAATGGGGTGCGACGTGTCATGCGATCTGAAACGATCACGGTGTGACCGGGGACTAAAGCTTTAACCTAATTAGAGAGTGGAAGCAGAATACAGTGTAGAATACTTGGTGCTGTCAAAGAAGACACTCACTGCTGAAGCAAAATGTTAAACACGTCTTTAAATCAGAGGAAATCACACAGGTCCAGTCACTCTGCTGACACCGATGAGAATATATACAGCATTAGATTTTTTTTTAATGATGTGTTTAGCTTTGCCATGTCTTCCTTATTGTGAGCTCCTGTGTGCAGCTTTCTGTCAATCAAAAATATAAAAGCTACCAAGAGATTCTCTTCAATTAGGACTAACTGCTGAAGAATACTAAACACACCCAACTCAGCCCCACTCCATTCTAGAGGTATCGCAGAGCCAAAGGGTCAAAAAGATAGTAGCTAATCAAGGGTGATGTGAGGACAAACAGCAGAGACCATTTGTTCGGAAAAGAGGAGAATATACAAGGGCTGTACTGAAAATAATGCAAATGTGGGCATAAATAAAAGTGTAATTATAGGTGCATTGAGTAAGAGGCAAATAATTCTGGATAGTTGTCAAAGTTAGTCCATCCACTGAGGGTAAGCTGAGCTGAGAGTCGAAGCTGACTCTGGATATGCACACTAAAAGGAAAGAAGACAGCGCCTCTAAGTGTAGACTTTTAGAAAACAAAAAATTTTATGTTATACACCAATATTGCCAAAAGTATTAGGACATCCCTCCAAATCATTGGATTCAGGTGTTCCAATCACCTCCATGGCCAGAGGTGTATAAAATCAAGTGCCTAGGCATGCAGACTGCTTCAAACATTTGTGAAAGAATGGGTCGCTCTCAAGACCTCAGTGAATTGATGCATGGTACCGTGATAGGTTGCCATCTGTGCAATAAGTCCATCCGTGACATTTCCTGGCTACTCAATATTCCACGGTGAACTGTTAGTGGTATTATAACAAAGTGGAAGCAAATGGGAACAACAGCAACTCAGCCACCAAGTGGTAGGCCACGTAAAATGACAGAGCAGGGCCAGCACATGCTGAAGCACACAGTGCGCAGAAGTCGCCAGCTGTCTGCAGAGTCGATGGCTTAAGACCTCCAAACTTCATGTGGCCTTCAGATTAGCACAACAGTGTGTAGAGAGCTTCATGGAATGGGTTTCTATGGCCGAGCAGCTGCATCCAAGCCTAATATCACCAAGTGCAATGCAAAGCATCAGATGCTGTGGTGTAAAGTACACCGCCACTGGACTCTAGAGCAGTGGAGACGTGTTCTCTGGAGTGACCAATCACGCTTCTCTGGCAATCTGATGGACGTGTCTGGGTTTGGCGGTTGCCAGGAGAACGGTACTTGCCTGACTGTATTGTGCCAAATGTATAGTTTGGTGGATGGTGGTTTATGGTGTGGGGTTGTCTTTCAGTGGTTAGGCTTGGCCCTTTAGTTCCCCTCAGTGAAGGGAACTCTTAAGGCGTCAGCATACCAAGGCATTTTGGACAATTTCATGCTCCCAAGTTTGTGGGAACAGTTTGGAGATGGCCCCTTCCTGTTCCAACATGACTGCACACCAGTACACAAAGCAAGGTCCATAAAGACATGGATGAGGGAGTCTGGGGTGGAGGAACTTAACTGGTCTGCACAGAGTCCTGACCTCAACCTGATAGAACACCTTTGGGATGAATTAGAGCAGAGACTGTGAACCAGGCCTTCTCGTCCGACATCAGTGCCTGACCTCACAAATGTGCTTCTGGAAGAATGGTCAAACATTCCCATAGACACCCTCCTAAACCTTGTGGACGGCCTTCCCAGAAGAGTTGAAGCTGTTATAGCTGCAAAGGGCGGGGCCAACTCAATATTGAACCCTACGGACTAAGACTGGGATGCCTTTTAAAGTTCATGTTCGTGTAAAGGCAGACCGACCAATTTGCAATATAGTATAGGTTAGGCAACTCACGTGTAAATGATTTGTTAAAAGCTGTAAGCCAGGGAGTCTGGTCCGTCATGTGCCAAAGTCATTGCTGGGATGAGAAAGTTATGTGAAGAGGTAATCTCTGAGATGAGTAGGTGCCTGGCATGCTCTGAGAGAGCTGGTCGGCGCCTATATTGCTGGAAGCCTGGAGATGGAGCGCACAATGAACTGCAAGCATGTGCATGCATAGTGGGCATAGCTTACATACGTCATTCAAATTTCACATATTGGTAGTTACTCTTCCTCTGTAATAAATCATCTTTTCCATTGCAGGTAAATAATGGATTCTATGCAGAAGCACTTATTGAACAGATATAACAGAATGATTTCAAATGTAGGAGACCAAAACAGAACAAATAAGATGAGTTTGTTGTTAGGGTTTACATACAGTTTAAAGTGAACCCGTTATATTATTTAGGAGTTAGTAGATGGCTTAACGAATAATTCCAGGTATAGCTACATTGGCCCAGCTTGGAAAAATGTAACGATGCTTATACCATACCTGTGGGATCCCTCTAGAAGCTGGAAATCACTGTAGTAGTCACCACTGCTTCAAAGATTTCCACTATCTTCTAGTTCCCATACCAAGCAGCTGTCCTGCTGTAGTTTTGAACATAGGAAGTCAGCCACTCTGCTTCATTTTCTCAGTGAATACAAAGCTTCACTTTGTCTGATCAAAGAACATTTTGCATTCATTGAGAAAATGTGCCCTGAATGGCGCCCGTGCTGCGCGGCCAACCACCTGTGTTCAGAATGCAGCAGGGCAGCTGCTTGGAACAGGAACCAGAAGCTAGTGGAGATCACTGGAGTAGCAGTGACTACTACAGTCATTTCCAGCTTCTAGAGGGATCCCACAGGTATGGTGTGTATATATATTGCTGGACCAATATAGAGTAACTGTATAAAAACTACCATACCTGGAATTCTTCTTTAAAGACATTTTTGCTTTGCCATTGAAGGGCATAACAGATTTTCTTTAATGACCCCCTCCCCAGTCAAATTGTCATCTAGGAAAGGAAGGGGCAGCTCTAGGATCCAATCTGATTCTGCAGTTTACATGTGCTGACAGTGAACATACTGACATGAGAAAAGAATTGCAACACACTATCTACTTTCCATTTATAACTGGATGCCTGCTTCTTACAGCGCCTTGGAAAAGTATTAATACCCCTTGAAATTTTCCACATTTTGTCATTTTAGAACCAAAAACTTAAATGTATTTTATTGGGATTTTATGTGATAGACCAACACAAAGTGGAAGGAAATTGAAAAAATGGTTTTCAATTTTTTTTTACAAATATCTGAAAAGTGTGGCGTGCATTTGTATTCAGTCCCCTTTACTCTGATACCCCTAACTAAAATCTAGTGGAACCAATTGCCTTCAGAAATCACCTAATTAGTAAATAGAGTTCACCTGTGTGTAATTTAATCTGTACATCTGTCTGTGAAGCCCTCAGAGGTTTGTTAGAGAACATTGGTGAACAAACAGCATCATGAAGGTGAAGGAACACACCAGACAGGTCAGGGATAAAGTTGTGAATACGTTTAAAGCAGGGTTAGGTTATAAAAAAAATATCCCAAGTTTTGAACATTGCATGGAGCACTGTTCATTCCATCATCTGAAAATGGAAAGAGTATGGCAAACCTACCAAGACATGGCCGTCCACCTAAACTCTCAGGCCGGACAAGCATTAAACAGGGAAGTCACCAAGAGGCCCATGGTAACTCTGGAGGAGCTGCAGAGATCCACAGCTCAGGTGGGAGAATCTGTCCACAGGGCAACTATTAGTCATGCACTCCACAAATCCGGCCTTTATGGAAGAAAGCCATTGTTGGTGTCAGTGGGAGGAATGGTAACCCATCATTGATGTCAGTGGGGAGGAATAGTGCCCCATCATTGGTATCAGTGAGAGGAATAGTGCTCCATCATTGGTATCAGGGGGAGGAATAGTGCCCCATCATTGATGTCAGTGGGAGGAATGGCGCCCCATCATTGGTGTCAGTTGTGGATGGAATAGTGTCCCATCATTGGTATCAGTGGGAGTAATAGTGCCCCATAATTGGTATCAGTGGGAGGAATAGTGCCCCATCATTGGTGTCAGTGGGAGGAATAGTGCCCCATCATTGGTGTCAGTAAGAGGAATAGTGCCCCATCATTGGTGTCAGTGAGAGGAATAGCGCCCCATCATTGGTGTCAGTTGTGGATGGAATAGTGTCCCAAGGGCCAGACAGAGGTAGGCAAAGGGCCACATCTGTCCGCAGTTTGGAGACCACTGGTCTATCGCATAAAATCCCAATAAAATAAATTTAAGTTTTTGGTTGTAACATGACAAAATGTGGAAAATTTCAAGAGGTATGAATATTTTGTTCAAGGCACTGTATTCTGTGCCAGAAGGCATGTGCAAGGAATTCAGGGTGAATGTCATGGCTGTCGATTTCAATCCATGACACCGCATTAGATTTAATAATTTGTAGGTGAGACCAATAAAACAATTTTTTTTTTTGTTTTTCATACAATTATTGAAAGCTGGCCTGTTCTAACAGAAAATGGAAAAAAAATTAAGGTCACCTTCATTAAATCACAATAGAAAAACAGGCTATATTTAGAGTCCCTATGTTCTCTTATTTGTCTTTCTTGGTACAGAGAAGCTGAGTCTTTATATTTTATCTTACAGATCAGCAACCGAGAACTCTCTGATCATCATTGACGAGCTGGGCAGAGGCACCTCCACCTATGACGGTTTTGGCTTGGCCTGGGCAATCTCTGAGTACATCTCTACTAAAATCCAGGCGTTTTGTTTGTTTGCCACTCACTTCCATGAACTAACCGCTCTGGCTGATCAGGTGCCAACTGTGAACAATTTACATGTCACGGCACTTACAACAGATGACACCCTGACCATGCTCTACAGAGTCAAGAAAGGTGAGGAAGACTCAATCTGTGAAATCCATACAGTGTGCCATAGACACTCATTACAAATATTAATTTCTTCATAAATATGCAACGTAACCACCATACTCCAGCATGGAAGGGTTCTCATTTAACTCCACTTTCCTTAGCAACAGTATGGCGGTATTTCTGTATTTGCTGCAGTTATTGCCAAATACCCTAAAACAAGAGCTACGCAAATTTGTCGGAAACCACATTGTGAATGTCACACAGGTTTCATGAATTTGATGCATACCTCCTGAGTACATCTACACTGCCAGAAATGTGTCATAAATGCCTTCTCTAATCACCTCCAATGTCAGTTGTTCTTGCTGCTGCTTCTTACATCATTCTCTATATTTGACGATTAATTTAGAAGAGACATAAAAGATGCAGTAGCAAACTTACATGGCTATACGTAGAAGGAGAAGTTTGGGGTGTAAAAAAAAAAAAAAAATGCCTCCAGGCTGCAGCATTGATCTGATGCTGTAGCAGTCTCCCACCGGCTGTAAGCCTGAGTAATCACATGACCCCTGATCGCTCTTTTTTCTGTCATCTCGGAACAGACAGGTGGCTGTCAGTTGCTGTTCTCTACTTTGCCCATCCAGAGTTCACTGGAGCACCTGGCTGGAGAGGATGGGTGAGCAACTGGTTCAGGCTCTCAGCTGCCCATTGAAAGCCTGAGCCAGCTGGTGATCAGGCATCTGGCCGGGATCCTTCCGGAGCCTGGAGCAGCTCTGTGACGTCAGGAGACATTGGGCTTCAGCCAGATGGCTCTTAGCGAATAGCTCGAGAAAAAATATTTTTTGTCAGTTCACCACAACACACCAAGCATACTCTGTGATGCACAGATCTGTTTGTATACATTGTGTATCTGCATTGGGATGCTATTTGGAATGAATGTACAGTACATCTTTGCGCAGTCAAATTTGTTGAACCTGCACTCTTCCAGTGCACAGAAAACTTAAAATGAATAAATCCATTTTATTTTTTATTATTTATTCCAAAATGTTAAAAAAAAAAAGTAGCCAGACAAACACTTAAAGTGTTGAACATATTATATAAAGTAGTTTTAAAGCCTTGATGCATTAAAGTAAAACATCTTCTGTGCTGCTGGATTCCCGCTGCCCCCACTTGTTCTTACCTGAGCTCGATCCGATCCAGCGACGTACACGAGAGCAGAGGGCAGATTGATGGCAGCGGGAGCCATTGACTGCCGCTAATGTCAATCAAATTCTGTGACGAGGATGTGGGGAGGGATTGGGTGCCGGGCTGCCTGGTCTGTGTCAATAGACGCAGATAGGGTGGCTCAGGAAATAGCTTGCACGGGTGCCCCCATAAAAAATTGCTTTCCATGGGTGCACTCGCCGCAGAGGAGGAGCTTGGAGCACCGGCAAGAAGAGGAGGATCGGGGCTGCTCTGTGCAAAACCATTGCACAGAGCAGGTACGTAAACATGTTTGTTATTAAAATTTGAAGGTTTAATGTTACTTTAATGTTTACCAAGAGAGGAGCTCTGGAGTCGAACTGCAAAATGACAGGTTCTCTTAATAGGTCACCCTCCCACCCACTGATTTTTACCTGTCATGGCTCCCCACTCCATCCCTGGCAGGGGCTTGGAGTCTAAACCCTGTGTGAGTTCTGTGTTGCAGCTTATGCTGGGCAAATGACCTTTTGTGACATTGTTCTGTCCAAGGGATTGGCTGCTTTGAATGGGCAAAGTGACAGATTCTCTTTATTGACCATATCTGCTTTATAATTCTTCATGATCCAATTGTTCAGAGGTGTGTTGGGGGGGGGGGGGGGTTTATTCCTAAATAATTTGCCCTAAAGAGTGCTTGCTCCTCCAATCCACCTGAAGTCCAGGTAGGTATGTTTTTATGTTGGTTCTGAAATCCTCCAGCCATATTCTGAGCTGCAGATCAATGTAGCAGTGATACTGAACTTGTCAATAAGATCGAAGTGTTTGCTTTGGGGGTGTCTAGCAGCATTATAGTAAAGCCATGTTGGTGCAGTGTTCATTGATCTGTTTGTTTAAGACCTGCTGATAATTGAGTTTTCTCAGGACTGCAGTAGCTGACAGACTGGTGTGCAGGGTTTATTCTAGATGTCAGGACTCCGGTATAAATAGGAACAGTTACACTTGAGTTTATTCAAGAATCAGAATTTTTTCGTTTTAAATGACTTCTAAGGGCTCGTTTACACTTGACTGTTTTACCAACGCTTGCCAAACGCCCCTATAGCATTTGGTAAGCGTTGGTCCGGCGTTTGCAAAGCGTTTTTTTAACGCTCAGCAAACTCTCTGCAAACGCTGCATGTGCTGTTTAGCGGCGGTTGCTAGGCAGTTGCCGAGCATTAAAAACGCTCTGCAAACGCCTATAATGAAGTTTAAATGGTGTTTACCGCTCCGCAACCACGCCGCAAACGCCGGCCGGGCGTTTGCGGAGCGGCACCATAGACTAGAATAGCGGGCTCTCAACGCTTCCTGACTCGACCAGAGGCGTCTGTTTTGCCGCGACACGACGCTAATGTTCCCGTTAGAACAGCACCATGTGCTGCAATGTGCAAAATTGTCAGAGGCGTTTGGGAAGCGGTAAAAACGCTTCCCAAATGCCTCTCTGCTGCCTGCACACAACGCTAGTGTGAACGTAGCCTTATACTTACAAAATATTTGTTTTCCCCTTTACCTTCTTTGCCTGAGCCAGACAATTTAGCTTGAGTGTCTGTCAGGGCATGTGACAGGTGAAGGTGAACTGAGTGCATTCCAGCCAATGTCAGTGGTTTTCCCTGAGACGGCTGACACTTTCTGTTCTCTGTACTTGCTAACATCACCTGATGTTAACCTGAGTGTTTGTATACCTATTGTTCTTAAGACCTATTGTTCGGTGACTGGGTCAGTTACAGTGGGGCAAAAAAGTATTTAGTCAGCCACCAATTGTGCAAGTTCTCCCACTTAAAAAGATGAGAGAGGCCTGAAATTGGCATCATAGGTAGACCTCAACTATGAGAGACAAAATGAGAAAACAAATCCAGACAATCACATTGGTTGATTTGGAAAGAATTTATTTGCAAATTATGGTGGAAAATAAGTATTTGGTCAATAGGAAAAGTTCATCTGAATACTTTGTTATATATCCTTTGTTGGCAATGACAGAGGTCAAACGTTTCCTGTAAGTCTTCACAAGGTTGGCACACACTGTTGCTGGTATGTTGGCCCATTCCTCCATGCAGATCTCCTCTAGAGCAGTGATGTTTTGGGGCTGTTGCTGGGCAACACGAACTTTCAACTCCCTCCAAAGGTTTTCTATGGGGTTGAGATCTGGAGACTGGCTAGGCCACTCCTTGAAATGCTTCTTACGAAGCCACTCCTTCGTTGCCCGGGTGGTATGATTGGGATCATTGTCATGTTGGAAGACCCAGCCACGTTTCATCTTCAATGCCTTTGCTGATGAAAGGAGGTTTGCACTCAAAATCTCACGATACATGGCCCCATTCATTCTGTCCTGTACATGGATTAGTCATCCTGGTCCCTTTGCGGAGAAACAGCCCCAAAGCACACAAAGCAAAGCACCCTAATACATATCGTTGTAAAACAAAAAGAGCGCACCAACCTTGCGCATTACCTCAATAAACTGTGATTTTAGTAAAATGAGATATATACTCACAAACAAAGAAGTAAAACAAGCGTATAAGATCCTCAAAGGAGCATTGAAGTACAAGTGCGAGTCACATCAGGAGGGAGACTCTCAAAGTTCCGCTGATGCGTTTCGAAGGGGGTCCCTTCTTAGGCTGGCCATACATTATACAATTTTCTTGAGATCTTGATCAGGTGCCAACTGTGAACAATTTACATGTCACGGCGCTTACAACAGATGACACCCTGACCATGCTCTACAGAGTCAAGAAAGGTGAGGAAGACTCAATCTGTGAAATCCATACAGCGTGCCATAGACACTCATTACAAATATTAATTTCTTCATAAATATGCAACGTAACCACCATACTCCAGCATGGAAGGGTTCTCATTTAACTCCACTTTCCTTAGCAACAGTATGGCGGTATTTCTGTATTTGCTGCAGTTATTGCCAAATACCCTAAAACAAGAGCTACGCAAATTTGTCGGAAACCACATTGTGAATGTCACACAGGTTTCATGAATTTGATGCATACCTCCTGAGTACATCTACACTGCCAGAAATGTGTCATAAATGCCTTCTCTAATCACCTCCAATGTCAGTTGTTCTTGCTGCTGCTTCTTACATCATTCTCTATATTTGAGGATTAATTTAGAAGAGACATAAAAGATGCAGTAGCAAACTTTTATGGCTATACGTAGAAGGAGAAGTTTGGGGTGCAAAAAAAAAAAAAAAATGCCTCCATGCTGCAGCATTGATCTGATGCTGTAGCAGTCTCCCACCGGCTGTAAGCCTGAGTAATCACATGACCACTGATCGCTCTTTTTTCTGTCATCTCAGTACAGACAGGTGGCTGTCAGTCGCTGTTCTCTACTTTGCCCATCCAGAGTTCACTGGAGCACCTGGCTGGAGAGGGTGGGTGAGCAACTGGTTCAGGCTCTCAGCTGCCCATTGAAAGCCTGAGCAAGCTGGTGATCAGGCATCTGGATGGATCCTGATAAAATGATAAATTTGGTTTAGATTTACCAAAAACCATATAATAGGAGGTCAAACCTAACAACACTTTCAAATGTATCCAATTAGGCAGGCTCTTGCACTACATAGTTGAAGGTAAATCTTTGCAGTACTGGTTGGGCTTCCCCAGCCTTGTTAATAGCTGCACATCCTTTCATCCATTGGTGGACGAACTTCCACAAGTGGTTTTCCCACCCATCCACCCTTGATCTGGGTCCCTGAGCGCAGGAGGTGTTGTTTCTGTTAATACATATTCTTTCTCATCACATGTAAATATATGGAACAATATTATAAATGATAAAAGTGATTAGTGCAATCAAATAAAGTGCAAGAGATGTGTCCATTC